GGCCGCCTTCCCGGGATGGGGGCGTCGGGATCCCGCGCGGGCCTTGCTGGCGCAGGCTTCGCGGAAGACGGGCCACAGAGGCGAGTTTCGGCCCGTGAGGTCTGTCCGTCTCGATAAGGAAATCAGGCCTTTATTGAACAAGCCTGGGGGCGGAGTGGTCCCCGCGAGCAGGGCCCGGGCACGGTGAGGAGCGGGGGGCCGGCCCTGCGGGCGCTTTGTTCGTCGTAGCTGGCGGTCCGTCTGCTTCCACCAGCGCCGGTCGCGCTGGTCGAGCTCGGCAGTGGCGCTTTTAACCCTTGCCTGTCCGATCTCTACGTACGCGCAGAAATTTGCCTTTACTTGTAAACAGCTTGGCTCTGCCAGAATTTAGCGCGCAAGGTGTGGGCGTGATGCTGGGATGCTAATAAAAGCAAATGAAATAGCTCTTCGAAGTCCATTAAGTTAATCTGAGTCACTAGAAAGTAAACAGATGTTCAGTATATTCTAGGTGTTGGACACGGCTTAATTTACATATTCCTCCCTCTAAACTGTCCCTATTGTCTGCTGTAAAACCGTGTTGTTAACTGGACGATCAAGTAGAACATTTTGTCATTTTCTTTAGTCTGCACACCCTGTTACCATTTTTGGTCAATGACTTGCAGGCAAAGGCTTACCAGGCTTCGCTAGAAATATTACGCTGTTATTGCATCTGTCCGCCTGGAAGCAGTTGGTACCAGTTTATTTGCATAGAAATTGTTTCTACGGAATAACAGTTCTGGTTTTCTTCAGATATTGCACCTTTCACGGCTATGCAGACTGGCTTATTAGTGGAAGAAAAAGAGATGAGTTTCTTGATGACTGAAGATATGTAGTAGGAATTTGATATTAAGTTTTTTATTCTTTGGTTTACCTCTGTAAACTACAAAGAAGATCAGCATCTTAAGACTTTCTAACTTCTTAAAGATTGTACTCCTTTATGTACTACTAAAAGACTTTAAGGGTTTTGAGTGCACATAAATTTAAGGCCATACTCTGATGTAAGTGCTTTGAATCAGGCTGGAGCTTACTATAGTGCCTTCTGAGTTGACGTAACTTTATTTTCTGTTTGAAAATAGGACCAACCCTTTTTACTTTAAATGCTTAAACTTGAAAGCTTAATTTCCATATTTCTATACATTCAAATAAAATAGAGTCTGTTTTATTTATGGAAGAAGGAGGAGAAATAAGAAACAAAATGGATGGATTTCAAACTTGACCTCAGGTCAAGAAGGCCTCACAGGCTACTTACAGGCCACTCTTGTTTCGATGCTTGCAGAGAGTTCAGAATAGACTGGCCGTTTTTAGAGGCTGCTCTTGTTTTTAGCCGTATGAGTACAGAGCATCTCCTTTCAGTCCAGCTATTAGAGAATATTGTGAAGATGGAAAGTTCCTTTATTATCTCAGATTTTAGCACTTTACCTCTGTATTTGAAACTGTTTAAATCTGTTGGCTTGATTCCAGTTTTCTAAGTCTTTTTTTTAAAGATTAAATTTTAACTGCTGATGGATTGTTGTACATTAACAAAATCACTTCCTGATACTCACCAAGTCTTCTAGAAGTACTTGGGAATAAAGCAATTTGAAACCAACTCAAAAGATCACCTTGAGCACTTTAAGATGAGATTTCATGTTTTCAAAGTCTTAGTTTACAGTGCCCCCCCCAAAAGCCAAAACCCCAAAAGAGCAAGCCAACCTTCCACAGGAACCACGTGTACAAACTCCAAACAAAACTCTGGTGTGTGTGTACTGGATATGCCAGCTTCTAAATACAAAGATTATTTACTAGTGCACCATTGAGTTCCTAGGGTTATCTGCTCAGTAGTTCTTGCTGTTGGGAATGGATTGAGACATAGCAGGAGACTGGCCTAGCTTCTCTTGTAACCAGTGTGTATGCATTTGCAGCATAGCTGAGTGGCTCTCTGGAAAGTCAGTGTAGTCTTGTCCCTGAAATAGTAAAGTTCCATATAGTAATCTAACTCAACCTTATGCTAATCAGAGCTTGGCGCCAACAAAGTGAGCTATTGGCTCAGACTGAATTACAAATGTATTCTACCGCTTGATGAGTAGCAAAAACACTCTTGCTTACAGACATCTAGTGGAGTAGGTTGGACCTGTTTTCTTGTGCCTATTTAACATACTAGAAAACTATCTGTAAAGGATTAATTAACTTGAGACCTTTCTGACTTTACACCAGGTTTTAAAATAATTTAAAAATTAATTTTGAAACTTTTTAAGCAGGAAGGTACACGGAGTAAGAGGTACCTTTGTACAAAAGAAGAAAAGGTTAACTTTTTGCCGCATTTCAGGTTTTTATGTTTACCGTTACAGCTAAATATGCATCGTCTTCCTTATCTCAGTCTCTTCCCTCCCCAGAGGTAACTACTCCTGTGTAAAAGACATAATGTACTGCCCAGTTTAGGGGATGATTTTTGCAGGCTATTGCAATTGAGAGAGCATTAATTAAAATGAGGAGCATCTCAAAAAAAAAAAACAATGGAGCTGATAAACTGAGGAGTTTTGAGGATGCCTGGGGACAGGTGTTAATCTTGAAGTAAGGAAGGGCAGGATCCTTTTGTTACCCTGAACACAAGATGTTAGGGGTGGATTTCTTAACCGTCAGTGCTTTCCAGGAGCACAGCGCTCAGGTATGGTTCAGCATAGTCATCTGAAACTACCGTATTTCATTCTCATTGATAGTTCTATGCTTTTAGCTGTACATGTATGCATCTGTAATAATTATATTGCCTTGATATATTTTTAATTTTTATATGAATGTCATCATGCTTCCTGTATCCTTTTGCAACTTAAAAAATTTTGTGAGGTTTTTTGGAGGGCGGGGGACGTGATTATTTTGACTCTGGTTGTTTATTTTACTATTGACTGATAGTTTGTTTTGTGACAGTGTAAGTTTATGCATTCCCCTATTGATGGACATTTTCTCAATTTTTTTGCCCAGTTGTCTCTCTCTCTCTCTCTTTTTTTTTTTTTTTTTGGTCTACTTGAACTGTTTTGTAGTCATGGTTTCCATTGTTACCTGTTAGTGTCTATTACTTCTCTAGCCCCTGTGAGAGGTATATAGAGAAGTATGTATCTGGAAGTGAAGCAGGGATTGGAGGGCATGCATATGGATTTTTTTTTACTCTACTAGCAATGGTTCTAGTCTGCATCTGATCAGCTACATTTACGAGCCTGTTTCTCAATTTCTTTTCATTACTGGCCTTATGAGACTTAAAACCAATCTGATAGGTGTGGAATGGTTTCTCTTGTTCTTTTAATTTGCGTTTCTCTGATTAGCAGTAGTTGAGCGTCCTTTCACATGCCTATTGCAGTTTTTGTTTTTACCTGCATGCTCTGTCGGTGAACCTGATGTTGTGTAAATACTCCTCGTGTCTCCATCTAAGCTCATTTGTGGAGCCATAAAGTAAATCCTGCCTTAAAAGAAAATCGACAAGAACATGATTGTCAAAGCCAGAACTGCATAATGAGGACTAACAGCCCTCGCCCCTGGCGCCTAATTTTCTTTGCATGCCGCTCAAGCTGCTAGTAACAGAAGCTCAATACTTTGAATTCTAGCCACCTGCCCTTGAGAGGCACTGGTAGTGGTAGAGT